TTACAGAGATAGGGAGGGGGTGTCGGAGCTGTGAGAGTTACAGAGATGGGGAGGGGGTGTCGGAGCTGTGAGAGTTACAGAGATAGGAAGGGCTATAGAGGCTGGTGAGAGTTACATAGGGAGGGGTGTAGAGGCTGATAGGAGTTACAGATTTAGGGCGGGGTGTCGGAGCTGGTGAAAGTGTTACAGAGATAGGGGCAGTTGTAGATGCTGCTTTTTGTCATTTATATAAATGATTTGGATGTGAATATAGGTATGGTAAGTAAATTTGCAGATGACAACAGGGTGGCACGGTGACTCAGTGGTTAGCACTGTTGCCTCTCAGTGCCAGGGACCCAGGTTCAATTTCACCCTCGGGCGACTGTCTGTGTGGAGTTTGCACATTCTCCCCGTGTCTGCGTGGGTTTCCTCCGGGTGCTCCAGTTTTCTCCCACAGTCCAAAGATGTGGATTGGCCATGTTAAATTGCCTGTAGTGTTCAGGGATGTGTAGGTTAGGTGCGTTAGCCATGGAAAATGTAGGGTTACACAGAAAAGGGTAGGAAGGTGGGTCTGGGTGGGATGCTCACCAGAGGGTTGGTGTGGACCTGTTGGGCCAAATACCATGTTTCCACACTGTAGGGATCCTATATATTTTTTTAAAAACTTGGTGGTTAGTGGACAGCGAAAAAGGTTTCCTCAGAGTACAGTGGGATCGTGATTAGATGGGCCATCGGGCCAATGAGTAGCAGATGGTGTTTAATTTAGATAAATGGGATAGGGGGAAATGTGGCAGATTGGATTCAGAATTGGCTGACCCTTAGAAGACAAAGGGTGGTAGTGGACAGAAAATATTCAACATGGTGCTCAGTTACGAGTGGTGTACCACAAGGATCTGTTCTGGGTCCTATTCTGTTTGTGATTTTTGTAAATGATTTGGATGTAAGAGTGGAAGGGTGGATTAGTAAGTTCGCGGACGATGCGAAGGTGGGTCGAGTTGCGGATAGTGCCGAGGGCTGTTCTAGATTACAAAGGGACATTCATAGGATGCAGAGCTGGGCTGAGAAGTGGCAGATGGAGTCTAACCCTGATTCATTTTGGAAGGACAAACTTGAAAACAGAATACAGGGTTAACGGAAAGATTCTTGGCAGTGTGGAGGAGCGGAGGGATCTTGGGATTCGTGACCACAGTTCCCTGAAAGCTGCCACCCAGGTGGATAGAGTTGTAAAGAAGGCGTATGGTGTGTTAGCTTTCATTAATAGAGGGATTGAGTTCAAGAGCCGTGAAGTTATGCTCCAGCTATACAAAAGCCTGGTTCGTCACATCTGGAGTATTGTGTCCAGTTCTGGTCGCCTCATTACAGGAAAGATGTAGAAGCGTTGGAAAAGGTGCAGAGGAGATTTACCAGGATGTTGCCTGGAATGGTAGGAAGGTCTTACGAGGAAATGTTGAGAGAGCTAGGGCTTTTCTCTTTAGAACGACGAAGGATGAGAGGTGACTTGATAGAGGTGTACAAAATGATCAGAGGTATAGATAGAGTGGACAGCCAGAGACTTTTTCCTAGGGTAGAGGTAGCTATTATGAGGGGGCAGAGTTTTAAAGTGAGTGGAGGTAGATATAGGGGAGACGTCAGAGGTAGGTTCTTTACTCAGAGAGCGGTTGGGGCGTGGAATGCATTGCTGGAAGGGGTAGTGAAGTCAGCCTCATTGGGAGCATTTAAGCGGCTATTAGATAGGCATATGGATGATAGTATAAGGTAGGGGTGGGGGATGGATAGACCTTAGGTTTAGGGTAAAAGTTTGGCACAACTTCATGGGCCGAAGGGCCTGTACTGTACTGTACTGTTCTATGTTCTAAATGGTGAAGTGCTATATTTTGGAAAGGCAAATCAGGGCAGGACCTATACACTTAATGGTAAGGATCTGGGGAGTGTTGCTGAACAAAGAGACCTTGGAGTGCAGGTTCATAGTTCCTTGAAAGTGAAGTTGCAGGTAGCCAGGGTAGTGAAGAAGGCGTTTGGTATGCTTCGCTTTATTGGTCAGTGCATTGAGTATAGGAGTTGGGAGTTTATGTTGTGGCTGTACAGGACATTGGTTAGGCCACTTTTGGAATACTGTGTGCAGTTCTGGTCTCCCTGCTAAAGGAAAGATGTTGTGAAACTTGAAAAGGTTCAGAAAAGATTTGCAAGAATGTTGCCAGGGTTGGAGGGTTTGAGCTACAGGGAGAGGCTGAATAGTCTGGGGCTATTTTCCCTGGAGCATCGGAGGCTGAGGGGTGACTTAATAGAGGTTTATAAAATCATGAGGGACATGGATAGGGTGAATGGTCACGGTCTTTTCCCTGGGGTGGGGGAGTCTAAAAGTAGGGGGCCACGGGTTTAAGGTGAGGGGGGAAAGATTGAAAAGGGACCCAAGGGGCAACATTTTCATGCAGAGGGTGGTGCGTGTATGGAACGAGCTGCCAGAGGAAGTGGTGGAGGCTGGTACAATTACAACATTTAGAAGGCATCTGGATGGGTATATGAATAGGAAAGGTTTAGAAGGGATATGGGCCAAATGCTGGCAGACAGGACTAGATTAATTTAGGATATCTGGGCAGCATGGACGAGTTGAATCGAAGCATCTGTTTCCATGCTGTGCATCTCTTTGACTCTAGAGGACGTTGCTGAGATTTGGTGGATTCCTGGAGAGTGGAGTATGTTACAGGGAAGTGCAAGGTCAAGGAGGAATTAAAAACAGGAATGGGAATTTAAATTTTTTGGAGAAGAGGTGCAGGTGCTCCCTCAGTGAGCGAAAGGAATGTGCATTTTGTGGGTTGGTGAGGTGTGCGTTGGTGTCTGTAGGTGGGGTGTGTAGCTATCAGTGTCTGTAGGTGGTATTTTTGTCTATTGGTATTTGTAGGTGGGGTATGTGTCTGTGTCAGTAGGTGAGCTGTGAGTCTGTAGATGGGGGTTGTGTGTCAGTGTTAGTTGGTGGGTCTGTGTGTCTGCCTCTGTCTGAGGGTATGTGTGTGTGTATGTGTAGGCGTGGGCATGTATGTGTGTGTGTGTGTGAGAGAGTATGTGTGTGTGTGTGTGAGAGAGTGTGTGTGTGTGTGTGTGAGAGAGAGTGTGTGTCTGTGTGTGTGTGTGTGTGTGAGAGAGAGTGTGTGTCTGTGTGTGTGTGTGTGTGTGTGTGAGAGAGAGTGTGTGTGTGTGTGAGTGTGTGTGTGTGAGAGAGAGTGTGTGACAGTGAGAGTGTGTGACAGTGAGAGTGTGTGAGAGTGAGTGTGTGTGTGTGTGTGTGAGCGTGTGAGTGAGTGCGAGAGTGTGTGTGAGAGAGTGAGTGCGAGAGTGAGACTGAGGGAGAGAGACAGTGTGAGTGAGAGAGACAGTGTGAGTGAGAGAGAGAGTGAGAGCGTGTGTGTGTGTGTCTGTGTATATACTCTGTGTGTGTGAGGTGAGAGTGAGTGAGTGAGTGAGGGAGAGAGAGTATGTGTGTGTGTATGTGAGGCAGAGAAGGGAGAGAGTGTGAGAGGCAGAGAAGGGAGAGTGTGTGTGTGTGAGGCAGAGAGGGAGACAGACAGCGCGTATATGCATGAAAGGGACAGAGTGAGAGAAAGTGACTGACAGAGAATGTGAGAGTGAGAGAGAATGAGAGTGTGTGAATGTGAGTGAGTAAATTTGGGTTTGAGACAGTCTGGGGGTGACTGTGCATGTGAGAGAGTGGGTGTGTGAGAGAGAGAGAGAGTCTGTGTGCGCGAGTGCCTGTGCACGTGCGTCAGTTGTGAAAATTCCTTGAACAGTCACGAGCAAACCCAGGACGGTTACAGTGATACCCTCCTGAGATCCTCGTTCCTAAACGCAGGAAGGACTGAAGTGAGTCACACATACACCCCACTAGCAGTGCCTGGGAGAAGGACTGTCCCTCCCATTTAATAGGCTCATTGACTTTACTCAATGCCCACTGAGTGCCATTTCAATATGGTGACCCTCAATCACCTGGCTGTTCAGCTAAGGGGAACATCACAGGAGGATCCCATACCCAGTCCTGCAGGAGGCATTGGTGACAGATGATTGGCCTCCTACAAAAACATCCCACATTCCTCCTCCCTCCCCCCACCCCACTGCTTAGACAGCCCTTGGAGGGAGGGGTGATCCTGGTTTTGAGGATGGGTGGGGGGATTAGGGGTCAGGCAGGAACACGCGAGGCCAGACCCAAGGCACCTCTGAGAGAGGCTGGGGGCCTCGAGCCTGGATACACAGCTGGAGTGATGTTGGGGTGGGAGGTGAAAGAGAAGAAGGTGGAGGAGGGTCAAGCGAAGGAGGGATGGGACGTACGTAAATGCTGGGCGTCGGAGGGTTGAGTTTATCACGGACGGCCTGTTGCTCTGTCAGGCAGCCTGGCTTCACTGAGTGTGCTGGCAACACACACGAACTCATGAACTTTCCCTTTAGCTTCGTGGACCTGGAACACAGAGAACAACACGTGGCTAGTTAACTGGGGTAGGCAGCACTGGTCTCAGTACATCTAGATTAGGAACCAGTGCAGAGTGTGTATCTGTACATGTGTGTCCTGTGTGTGCGCGCCCATGTGCATGTGCATATGATCACACGTTGTGTGTATGTTCCTGTCTGTGTGTCTATGTTCATGTCTGTGTGCAGTTGCGTGTGTGTCTCTGCATGTGCATATAGAGGGGGTGTAGTGGAGGAGTGTGGACAGTCAGGAATCAGAATGGGTGGGGAGAGAAAGTGGGTACTGAGACCGGCAAATACAGATTTATTTACTATTCATATGCTCACACTCCGTAATCCCTCTCCCCCACCATCTCCCTGTGTTACTGACTGTATCTGTGCCGATGTCACTCAGTAACCCCTCATCCCCAGTAGCCTGTGTTACTGACTGT